GCCCTCATGATAAAACCATGTGATTGTAAGGTGAATTGAGAGGGAGAGTATTTTCACACTTCCGTTTCTCCTTGTTATTTCAGAGGAAGAATATCGATGAAGGAATTTTAAAGTCATAAATCTTAAAATAAAGTGGGTTACAGTACGGCATTTGGTTTTACAGAAAAAAATGTTAGATGGGGCATTTTACATATCATAGGTAAGTTAATTTATTTTTGTTTGGAATTGCAATTGTTTTATTTATTATACAAATAAACTTTAAGAATGTTCTTCTTTTTCAATAAACGAATAAAAACACAACTAAACCGTAAAGTAATGATTAAATAAAATTATTTATTATTAATACATCATTTTTTTAAAGTGTACAGCTAAAACGAAGTAGGCAAAGGTTTGGCGACAGTTTTTTTTTTTTATCTTCGTTTGTTTATGTTGTCTACTTTTACACTCTAAAATGTTTTCGAAAGAAAACACTTCTCTCTCTATTTTTTAAATTTTATTTCAGTAGTTTGCTTTCCGTGAATATTTCTTATCACATTTGCTTTTACAAAAGAGGGTTATGAAAGATTCGGTGAATTTTGCTTATCCCATTTGCTTTTACAAAAGAGGGTTATGAAAGATTCGGTGAATTTTGCTTATCACATTTGCTTTTACAAAAGAGGGTTATGAAAGATTTTAAAAAAATGATTTGATAAATAAATCAAAAATTTTTAACACTAAATTTTTAGTTCTTTAATAATATCATCAGATCTTTCTCAATTAAAATCATCAGATCTTTTTAATTGCAATAACTCATGAAAAAAATCGAGAATACTATCTAAAGTATTAAAGCTGTTTTACTTTTAATCATAGCAGGTGTAAAGTTACAATAGAATTAGAAAATTAAAAAGTAGGAAGTGGAACTTTGAAAGTGATGCAATATTTTTTTCTCTCAATTGTTCATTTATTTTGCGATTGCTCGGCATGACTAAAATCTTTTCCTGTAAATATTTTCAAAAATTTCAAATACCTGTAAAGATACATGATTTTACAAGATGCAGGTGCTATTCCGAAATTTGTGTTATATTAAAATTTAAACTCGTTTTTTGTGTACATCAATATTGAAAAAAACAATAAAAAATTAGGATACAGAGCATATAACTTAAATTTACTTGCTTTTGAAAATTTCTGAATTAAAATTGTAATAAGTTTTATTAAAAGATACATTTTTGCTATTTTTTGAACCATCCAAATATTAAAGTTTTCTTTATTTTGTAAAAAAGGTAAACAATTTTGCCCAGTTCATAAACATTAAAAAATTGGAATTAAATAACCGAAAATATTTTTTAAATTAGCAAGTGTGACAATAAGTGATAAAATATTTTACTGTTCCGCTAATTTTAACCCTTCTGAAGCTTTTAGCTTTTCTCCATTGCCCTCATATTTATGAGACTAAACACGATCAAACACGAATCAACGAAAAAACGAATCATACACGAATCACGACAAATCACGAATTGCACGACTAAACACGGATCAACGAAAAAAGAGAACTCAACTGTCACACTATGCCTCTCTTTCTTCGTCAACATCGCAGAAAGAGAGGAAGCTCATGACTGTTGGTTTGGAACGAAGAGATTTTTGGAAATATAGCAGCTGGCTTGCTCTACTTGTATTGCAGCTCTGTGGTCCTAATAAGTTAAAATACGATCATTAGAGCAAAATTATTTAGAGTGTTCTATTTTTTTTTCGAGCAATGTACAAAAATAGGGAACATCATTTTAGTTTTCTTATGCTCCAATCTTAATTTTAAGAAGAGTGCCTTATATTAAGAACATTACCCTCAATTGGAAACAAAATTGTTTACACTCTCACGTTAAAATTCTATTATAGAATTATTAAATTATGCAATTAAGATTTACATTTTGATTGTTTGTTCAGTTACAGTGGAATTTCGAAAATATTTAAATAGCATCAGACATCTCAACTATAAATACTCCATTATTGAATTAAAACAGTAAATAATGAGATTAAGTGAGAACTAAATGGCAACTCTTTGCTCATTAATAATGGAAAGTAACAAATATTTAAACAGCGTCGACGTCTGATTGCTAAATAGTTTGATGGCTTACTTCAAAGTGTTTTAAGGAAAGATCAAAGTATTTATTTGAATTTATGCTATTAAATATAATATTTTCTGCTACACTAATTGACTTCCCGGATTCAACTTAATTAATTGATAAATTTTAAGAAAACTTACAAGAAAAAGATAAAATTCTAAGTAACTTCTACTTTGATAATCAAATCTCTCAGGCATTCGAATTTATTGAATGAAGGATTTCCCTTATATATACTCGCTAAAAGTGTAATATAATAAAATATTAAATGAATAAATTCTTTTCAAAATAAATAGTAAAATCAACAAAATAGAATTAAAGTTTTGGAACATAGCATTTTTTGATGCAATTCGCTAAAAAATATGTCACTGAAAAAAATATGGAAGTCACGAATAAAAAATATAAATAATTGAACTTTTGTTGTTATTAAGGAGGGATGCGACCAGTATTAAGATCTCTTATTTTATTACGACAATTTTGTTATCTTTCTTTAGTGCTTGTAAAGTAGGAACTTTTGCATAAAAAGTTCGACAACCTCCCGACTAGCCAAAGTACTAAAATCTCTACAGGAACTTTTTTTTTCCTACGAAAATGCAAGTTTCAATAGTTTGACAGTTTTGAGCAGATTTTATTACTATATTAGAGTAAAAGTTAATTAGTCTCAGGCAAAATTGTGATCATTTTAAGACCTATCAGAGCATTGAAATTTTAACTGCAGTTATGAGCTGTATAATAGAAGCCAACTTTTTTCCAACATCAACAAGTAGAACTTATCGTGATGTTATCGCCAATCAAACCTCTGACCATCTTTAGACTAGCTAGATTACTAAAACTTAAACTTAAATTTTGTGCTAGATGACAGTACTAACTTCAGTCGTTAAATCAAAGTCAGATCACCAAAGTCAGAATTCATCACTATATTTTTTTCCAATTGTAGTTTTAATCGTCGTTCCAAATTTCGTCCATTTCCCGATTAGTTAGAATGCTCTAATTTTAATCTGAGCTCTGCATTTTAGTACAATATATTAAAACAAAATTTCAATAGATCTCTGGAAGTTATCGTTCTATTATCACCAATCAAAATTTTAGCACTTTCGAATTAGTGTATTAATAAATAAAAAGGAATTTAATGTATTTAAACTTTTGTTTACCTTTCTGAATAAACTATTGTGGAGGGAATTTTCATAGTACAATGTACTGACAACGGACATAGTACTTCCTTACAACGGACAAAAAATTAAATTCGCCTTAGAGAAGTATCATTAGATACTTTTCAAAACGAATTTCATTTTTTAGAAAAAGTAGGAAAAGTAAGAAAAAGTATTAGAAAAAGTAAGTTCTTGTAAATAATTTTGAAACTTAAAACTATTTAATTAACTTATCTAAGATATGCTATGCGAAGTATTAGAATGCCATTACCAAAAGTCAACGTATTCATCAAGTGTTTCTAGTTAGAGTACAACATATGACTTCTGAAAATAATAAAGATTCTTGAAAGCCACGTTCCTTTCTAAAGTTTGAAAATCGTGCTTATATGTGAAATAATACACTAAAATGGGTGTAGTTTTTTTTATACCATATATTTTTAAGTCTATATGAAATCAATAAAATTCTTGTCACGTTTTTTTGTTTATTTTTTTCTTTTGAAAAGTGTCGTTTGGTTATCACCTTTTCTGAACTTTTTTCTATTTAATACTTCCAGAATGGATGTTATTTATAAAATGTCAGAGGTCTGAAGTTTTTGCACATTTAATAAAGTTAAGAATTTTGAAAGCTGACAGATTGGACTGTTAATATAAACTTCAGTATTTCTCATAAATATGAAATCAGTATGCTAAAGTGATGCTATGAAAAAAACTTGTTTCTGTAGATCAACATTTCTGTAGCTGGGAACAATTCGCAACTAAGATTCTCAATTGCTTTTTCCAATGCGAGACAATTGTTTCATCTCTTTCTTGGTTTAAAATATTTTAATCGTCTAATTTTTTAACGAATATTTTCCAGAATAATGTATAAAAACATACATTAATTACATGCATAGAATGAGATAATAAAGAAACTACTTTATTATCATAAAATTCATTTTAATTTAACCTTGTATGTTATTTAAAAATTGCCAAGAAAGAAAAAAAAAATACCCTTCTGAAAATATGCCACCATGTAAAATGTAGGTTAAGTGAGACTATTTAATGGCTATTAAGCTATCTCAATTAAGTATTTACGATATGTTTACAACCTTTCAAAAACATCTTAACATCCTCTTTGGACTAGTATTCTAAGCAACTTAAAAAAGACAAAAAACAAAATGGGTATTTAAACACGCAATAAAAACAATGATAAGGTCATTTTTTAGCAACCTTCTCCATAGGGGGTAAACTTTATCGATAAAATGATGTCCTTATACTTTTTTAAAAACATTTTTCTTATTTTTTTTTTTAGTTTGCTTTTTATTGAAGTCGTAGAACAAGGAATATTCTATGCAAGTACCTCTTAACTTCATATTTTATGAAAACTGTGCCAACTTGGCGTAGCTGATGACATCTCGTTTCAAAGCCCGCCAGGTAAGTTTCTTGGATTTATGAAATATGTTATGGTTCTGATAAATTATGTGACAGACTTAAGTAAAGGAAATATTGCACTGAATAAATTTGAATAACATTGTATGCCTCATAAAAATGAGCTTCTATTTTTTAATGCGATTTATTTAAATGAAAAACGCTTTTTCTCAAACAAATAAATATGGATTAATGACAAGAAAGCGTTTTGTTTTGAGAAAAGCACATTCACCTCTTTGAAAATTTTTTGAATGTTTTTACTGAAATCACTGCAATGCATTTTCTCATAACATAATAAAGCAGTCAAAAACAGTTTCTCATTGGAAAGAAAATCACATGTATAGTTACTTACTAAGAAGTTATGAAGGTATTTTTAACCAGTAAATTACTTCTTTACCCCAGTTAAATCATTCACCTGTAAATAAATAAAGTAATTAATTAACTAAACATATTAAAAATACATTTGAAAATATCATCTACATCTTAAAACGAAAAAAAAAAAAATTTGTGGCTAAAAAGAAAAAAAATTATAGAAATTTTCAAAAATGAATTCGATTGTCGAGTTAAAATCAGTTTAAATTTGTCTGACTCAGAATGTTCCAACTAAAAATCTTATATTGGTTGATTTTTCAATAAATCACCCTTTCTATTTTTAAATTATTTAAAACGATATTTATCTTTTCATAATTTGGCGGTAAAGAGATGCTATTAACTTGTCTCAGAAGCATCCACTAAATAGGTTTGCCACCATTTTGCTATCAGAGTCTCTTTTTACCGACATGTTAGGCTTAGCAAAGCCCAAGGGTAATGTCAAAGTTAAGAATGAACGATTATCTTAGATTAGAAATAGCTTACGTCATCTTTCAAATTATAGTTGTTAAATTTTTGGATAAAGAGAATTAATTTATTTAGTAATTTTAATCCTTGTTGTTAGATAAATTTGTTTTTAAAATATAGAACTAAGAGTCAATAAAGTGTTTTGAAACTAAAAAAAAAAAAAAAAAAGTGGTGTTAATCGAAAAAGGAGTTAACGCTTTCTTTTAATAATACGGTAGATTAGATGTATTATTAAGTTAAATTTCTTGTCAAGTAAGTTAAAACTAAATTTTTTTCTGGTTTGCATTTTTTTTTGCGAACTGGAAGGACTAAATTACTCTAATAAAAGAATTTGCCATTTAACGTAATTTAGAACTTATAAATTCTTGAATTAAACTGAATTCTGAAACTGAATGAAAACAATCAGAAAATAGTTCAATCACAAATTTGACAATCAGAAAATAGTTCAAATTTAATGCATCCTTAATACGTTACTAATTTTAACCAGTTTATAATAATAATGGATCAGTAAGTTAATAGTATCACGAAAAGCAATTTTGTTTAACACGCGAAATAAATAATTTTAAGAAACTGAAGCAGAAAAATAAACTCGATAATGTAAAAACTTCATTCGTTTCAAAAACGATGTAAAGTGGAAACAGTCGAAACGTTTCGAGTGATCGAAAATAGGCGCACATTCTCAAATTCCATTTTTTCAAATCCTTTCAACTTATTAGTTTCAACTTATATTTTTCAAGCAGGTTTGAAAAAGATAAAGCCAAGTTACCAACGATAAAATGGAAAATGAAATATAGGTACAAACAGAACTAAAACAGATAGATTCAAGTCAGGGATAATTTGCATTTATAGATTCCAATGATTTCGATTAGACTAAAATTGTTTCCACTATTGTCATAGCAACTCATTTTGACGCTCTGTAATTTTGTTTCATTCATGAATGTCAATTCCCTAGTTCATGGCAGGATTTCCTTATCAACCCTCTATAGCGCTTAGAAATGCATTCCATTCTGACTTACTTCACACTGTTACAGCGGGTTTTTCCATTTTTGCTTCTTCACTTTATTTCGCTTTCCATTTCTTCATTGGCAACTTTATATTTTCTTTTTCAAAGTTGTTTCGCTTTTTACATTCAGGGTTGGTGAGTTTTGAGAATGAATGCTGATTTTCAAGCTCTCAAAACGCGCTGACTTTTCCCCCCTTCGTAATTTTTGAAGCAAATGAAGATTTAACATTTTCAAGCACATGAATTCTCTTACTAAATGTGAATAGAGCAATGGTATCAAATTTAACCGGTGTATGGTAATAATCGCTTAATCAGCAAAAAGTCTCATGAAAAGCAATCTTTTGAGAATTTGAATGTATGATTTCAAGGTTCAACTCGAGTAGAAATATGGTACTAAATTTAATCTTTAAACAGTTATAATTTAGTCAGTTGAGTCCCGCAGTGGACTGATCGTTAAGACACGGTTCCCAGCAGATCACCGAAGTCAAGCATCACTGGCTGCGGTCAGTGTGCGGGTGGGTGACCACTTGGATCCGTCTGCGCAGGGACCGAGGATGTGCGGTATTGGTCCTCGTTAAACTGTTCTACCGTAAAGTGCTCGACTTCACGTGCAGGTCGTTGGGTTACCGAAGCAGGGGTGCTATTCCCTCTGCAGAGGATCAAAATTGTGATGGCTTGCCTACGGATCATCCTTAGGGATGTTTCCCAGACCGTCGCCAATAGCCCATTGTGCAGCTCTAGTGCGACGTAAATTAACTACAACTATAACTAGTCAGTTGATAGTTTTGTGAAAAGTATTTTTTTTTTAAAAATTTGAATACATGATACTATAATTCAATTTGATCAGAAATTCGGTACCAAGTTTAACCGGTTAACAGTAATAATAGTACCGTGACACCTTATTAAAGTTTCCGCAAATTTAGGTGATGTTATGGTTCAAGATAATGTTATTATATGTTACCACATAGCTAACCAGATTTCTTTGGTATTCCCTGCCAGAAAGTCATAAGTTTCAAAGGTATTGTATGACCAATCTATAAATTTACATAAAATTTTAGACTATATAGACTACAGAATTCATATAATTTTTCAATTTAATTATGCTTCCCAGTTGTTTCTAATTAGCTTAATCAGTTTAAGTCAAATTTTGTCATTGTTACAAGACTATAGTTAAATAATTTAATCAAATTTAATCAAATACAAACAAAGTTGAACATGTTCTGAAATGAATTTGAAGAAAATGCAAAGTGCTAGTGACTGTATTTTAGGATTCGAAAGTTTCGACTAACAAAGATAAATAATTAGATTTTCAGACGTATATTGCAGAAGTCGTACAAAAATTCAAATCGTACAATATTTTTGCAATATGATAGAGAAATTTAATGTAGCAGCGTTTAAGTTTAAAATCAAAAAAAAAATATCAGCGACTTTTCCAACAGGTTCTAGAATGGATCAAAGTTATTAAATAGGTCTCTGTTAAAATAGAATTTTAATAATTTGCAATAAGAATACATTTTCGAATAGTGATATTAAGAATATAAGTTTTAAGGAAGTTTCAACAAAAAATATCTAGTATACATTGTTCTGAGGAATGTTAGAAAATATATAAAAGAACTTCGAAGTTAATGATGCTTTAATAACAGCAATAAGACATAGAAAGCATATTCGCAATAAAATTAAGTGCTGAAAAGTGATTTAAAACCTTTCATATTTTTTCATAACTCCAAATGCAAATTCAGAATATTTTTTAATTTGTTTCAGGAATTAAAATAAAATAATATAGAAAGTCATAACCTGGAGTAGAAAGTTTTTTTCTCAATTCTGAACTAAAACTAATTCTTAAACAGTCAAGTATAAAATTAAAAAATATTTTTCATTTAATGAAATGTTCAGTTGAATGCTAGAATCTTATACTATACAATTTTTGTTTATTTTTTGTGATTCGGTTCTTTTTATTTCTTTGTTTTCGTTTTCACTTTATTCTGAAAAACTGAATGAATTTTGAATATTCTTCTTGTATATTAAAGAATCGTGAGGGGTAAGGGGAGTATTTTCAAACAGGATAACGCTCGCCCTCATACTGCTTTTGTTACCCAACATGCTCTTCAGAAGGTGGACTTGTTTCCTTGGCCAGTTAGATCTCCAGATCTTTCATGAATCATGCACGTACGTGCATCGACAACTTCGGCGTTATCCACAATCAGCATTAACTATACACTGACCAAGTGTAACAAGCATGGAACTCCATCTCACAATATGACATACGGCATCTGGATGACACAATGCATGCCCGTTCGCATGCTTGCATTCGAAATTCGGGTGGTTACGCTGGTTAATAATGTACCAGCATTTCCCATTTGAAATAGTTTTACTCTTATTGTATTAACTTGTGATCTTGAAACTTAGATCAATTAAATATGTTACTCAGACAAACGCATTGGCCGAAATTTCCTTACTCTACAATACTTTTTTCTTGGTGCTTTTTTTAATTTTTTAATTTTTTTTTAATAAAATCAGTGTGAAAAGAGTGAGCATGATTTTTGATATCCAATGCCCAAAATCAATTGAGAATGCAATACCAATTAAATTATTCAATTCAACTAATTATTGAATTTAATGGGAGAAAATAATGTTTATTTATAGAGATTTAACTATGCACGAGGAGTTGCTCATTGATTCAGTAATAGTTATACTAAACGCTTATTTTCATGAAACATTCGAACAAGTTATCATGAGTACAATATTTATCAAAACATTAATATTTAAAACATCAAACTTGTTTTACAATACAATGTTTAACAAAATATCCCTGCCCTCCCCTGTTCCGTCAGTTCAAAAATTTAATTAGAATAAATTTGGAGACATTTTGAAATTCGAATCATTTACTATGAAATTCACAGAATTAATTGTATAGTTAGCAAGTTTAGTTTTCATGTATCAATATTGATTATTGAAACCTTTGTTAGGGTGAAACTTGAAATTTAAATTATGCAAGCAAGTTGATATGGAATAAAAGGAATATTGAAATTCAATATCATTTTTCATGCAAAGCATATAAAGTGAATATTGTCTCGTAATAATAAATAGATTAGGTTAAATTTCCTTTTGTTATATAGTTTCTTTGTTCCTATTCATATTTTTGTTTTTACGTATGACATGATTTTTATACGATTTGTTTTTGCCACTTCCAATGCACATTGTTCGATTTTCTATGAATTTGGCGGAGCGTAACTGCATCCAGTTTCTGTGTCTTTAAACCAGTGGTTCCCGAACTTTTTTGCCATGTTTTTCGCTTTTGGGTAGATTCCCTGCTTACTTCATATTAATTTTTTGTAAATTCGTCAACTTCAATGCATTTTTGACAGCTGATATCGTACTATTCACTGTGAAAGATTTAAATTTCTAACGGTGGTGAAGTGTAGTGAGAAAAACTAAAGAAAAAACACATGTTAATTTTATATATTTATTAATTAAACTTTTACTAATTTAATTTAATTAATATTCAAATTTAATAAAATAGTGTACCATAAAACCCGTACTTCGTTACTAATATTATAATTGCAGAAATAAGTTTG